GGGGGGGGGGGGGTGTCACAAACGGCAGCGAGGAAACTAGCTGGGGATCGGGCCTCTACGCATTCATTTCAATCAACATTTACTTGAATGAACCTTTCCTCACTACGTTCATTAATCTGCCTTATGGCTATCCAAGTCAAAATCCAGCTCCGATGCAGTCCCTAGAGTGGCCTCCCTGCACTTTGTGGTAGTCTCGCTCACTCACCTCACTTCAATCGTGCTTTCACACATTCTCCAAGGAGAAAGAGTTCTCTATGGAAGTCCATCTGATACTCGTCTTGTTCCCGGATTAGGGTTAACTTAAGAAAAAGCGGTTGAGTAGGAAGTAGGAACAGTTACGGTCAACTTTGGCAAAAGTCGTAGGCACATGAACCCATGGGCACGCTTAGCGGTTTAGGCTGTATGACAAAAAAGAGCACAGCGAAGGAATATGGAAATCTCGAATATTTGAAATCAAGACTGCTGTTGAGGAAAAATGAATGTGAAAAAAGAAGATTCGAAACAAAAAAAAATCTTTCGATACTAGAAATCTCGAAATCCGTCATAACTACTTGGTCAATGAGTAAGTGAAGAATTAAGCAACTAAGGCAGATCAATTCCACCAACGCAATAGGTAAAACAGCTCTAACGATGAAATAAATGTAAAAGGAAAGCTTCAATAGAGTACTTCTGTGAGATATGCCAGTTCACTTTGAAAGTGGACAGAAATTTTCGGCTATTCCCACTTCGAAAAAAACAGATCAATTCAGTACAAGGGCGAGAAAACGAAAAACAGAAACGCATTGATGCAGGAAGCGATGAATGCTGATAAGGCGGAGCGATAAAGCCTGCAGAGGAACTTGTTCACAAAAGAAGTTTGAATAAAGATCATAAAAAAGTCTTGGGTGGAGTTCAATAGAACATCATAAGGGAAAAGGACGGCAGAGTACAGACATCATCTTATCGAGTATACTTAGGTCAAACAGTAGTAGTGAGCAGTAGGTCAGTAGGAGAGATAATGATTGGTAAAAATCCTTGCTACCTCTAATCAGCATCCCCGAGCAGCGGCTTCCTTTCTCACAATCAGTAAAGAATCCGGAGAGGCTGTGGGAAGCAGATGGCGAACAGGTGATACCCAACTAAAGGCACCACGGGGAATCGCCATGAAAGCATACAGGGAGTCCTCGCTCCTGTTCCTACCCATTCGATCCATAAAAGACGGTCAAAAAGAGCATGACCATTCTAAGCATCTGATTTTGAAAGATTACAACACTGAAGCTCACCTTTTCTGAATTCAAACGACGGACCAATACTTTGTACCCCTCTCATCGTCCCATGAGAGTCCTTAACTTGAAAAGTCTAACCTGAATCCGAAAATCTCGCCACAGGATTCACACTCTACTCATCCTAGAACGACTCCTCCTAGAACTATTCGAAGAACGAAAACTGATGGTCCGTTAAGGATATGGAGAGCACGAAAGATAAAGAAGGAACACTAATGGTGGGTGCCACAACCCAGCTTTTCGGGACATACTGCTTGGCGCTGGGTATAACCCGCTTCTGGTAGGACTGATTCTGCCTTCTAGAGCGAGGAGGAAGTATCTAGTTGCCCAGGTTGTTTCGAGAAGACACCTTTTTTTCATTCCCAAATAATGTGGCCCATAAATGGGCCCGAACACTACAGTAATTCGTAATACTGTAAGTAACGGTCATTATATATGATTGATGGTGTGTATGATTGATTATGCTGGTCAACAAATATTGTTCATCGATATGACATCTTCAGACCTATCAACTTGATCTTCACATTCATAACGACTGAATCGTTTATTGTCAATGGAATCGATGACAAATCAAAGGAATGTCTCATAGGGACATGTGGTTAGCCGAGTATTTTTGGTTCTACTTGATCACTTCTTCTATTAATGGCGATATTCCTGACCGAAAACATGAAAGATATCGATGATCTTGCTGAAATATAATTTTACGAACGGTAAGCGACGACGACGACAACAACAACAACAACAGCTACAAAAAAATAAATAAAGGATAAAGGTGAAGCCTTCGAGTGAATCGGTCCCGTTGTCGGATAGCCACCGCATTCAACTTTTGTTCAATAGGGTAGAGGAAATTGAATGCGTATGTGACCTACATCATGACTTGCACTGTCAGCCATTGCACAATTCAGTGCTTAATCCCTCCCAGACGACCACAACAACAACAACAACAAATATAAACAGGCCCCGTAGCGATGGAAGACCCGGTAGGCATGTGCGGATAGCGATGCGAGATTCCACTAACCACGGATCGGATTACGCCCGCCACATAACATTACAAACCTCCGGCCTGTCAAGAAATATCCAAAATATATGAAATGTCCTTGAGGATTGTAAAACAAGACGATTTCCAACTCAAAGGGACTGTTCACGAAAAAATGGTTTCGGAGATTTGCACATGGTTTGAATTCGACGCCCCCTCTGATACCATTTGTGCAGGAATGAGGTCGGAAAACGGCTGGATAGGGCACAATAAGGGGCCGGAGAGTTATCCACGGTCGCCCTCCGCTCCTCGCT